GGATTTAAACTAGTACCAAAATCAACTAACTGTTACACTGAATATCTAGGCAATGTTATTCTCCAGGCATGTTTGCTTGGGAGATTGGGAACACATATTTTTGTTATGTAATTGAGTGATACAATTGACAGACCATTAAGTTAGTATCAACTTTTAGCAACCACAGAGATCATTTTACGGCCTGTGGGCCACTTCGGCTGTCCCTGTCTGTCCCGTGCTGGTGACAGCAGGGGAGTAGGAGCAACAAGAGGTTGGACAGTGGTGAGGAATGATTATGTTGCAGGGGGAAGGGGTTTGCAGGGGCTGAGCTAATGGCAGTGGCCCTTCACAACTGTCCCAGTTTTTCACAAGGGCCCCTAATCAACCTGCTCTGGTTGTCCTCTTTCATTCTACTTCATTCCTCTGGTTGCCCTCTTTCATTCCACTTCATTCTACTTTTCTCAACATTACAGACTTTTCAATAAAGCCATGACTTCATACAAAGTGTTCTGAATATGATAATTTGAGGTGCATCATTTCTGCCCTGAAGGTTATCTCTCCTGGATCCACCACATTGGATTGATTTGGTCTGAGGACTATGTGTTGGGTTTTTAAGTTATCCACAGTATTATTATCCCACCCTTAGTTCAAAAGCATCAATACTTTTTCAACCTTTTGATTTTCCTCAAGATCCAACTTTTGTTTCTATAAAGTACACAGGGAAAACCGTATATATCACTATGTAATAAGATTATCATCACATTCTCACTGTATGAAATAAATATTGAGATATTTTGTGAGGAATAGAGAGGGAGAAGATAAGCAGCCCATGGTGATTGTCTGTTACAGTGGCTATAAGTGCACTTTTGAAGGACTTGAAAGACCAGGTTAGGGACAGAATGTCATGGAGAAATATTTCTATATGGTTATTAAGACTCAGGATTGACATTATGTCACATAATTTACCAATTGTGGGGAAATTATTTGTCCCTTTTTGGTACGTTTTTTTTAAAAAAATGAAAGTATATTATGAATAGGTTCTCACAATAACTGTAAGGCAAAAGATTGTATAGCAAGATTTAGTCCACTGGCTGCATTGGCTTGGAGAGTAAGGGAAAATGGCATTTGTTTATTAGATTGAAACCAGATACTAAGACTAGATTATTCTCCTTGCAAATAAAGAGAAATTAACATCAACACTAATTATTCACTCCATATTGGCGTTGAGACATCTTTCAAAATCATTTTGCATTATAACATAAAGATGTGTATTTCAAAGAAAATCAAAAGTCAAAATCTTGCCAGGTGTGCTTGAGCCTTAAAATTGCTAAAGTAGCTTTTTGGATTCCGGCCATGTTTATACAGTGGGTGTTCTGCAAGGAATAATGAGCACTGAGCTTAAATTTCTTTGAGAAGTGAATACCGAGATGATCCTTTGTGCTTAAACTTTATCAGTACGCAAAATGAACTCTTGCTATCCTCTCTTAGTGACTCCACTTGCAATGGTTGAGGTTCTAGCTACACCTCTTAGTCTAACATTTAATGGCAGCATATGCAATGTTTATTGATTCAAATCAAACAGTGGATAAGTCCTTTTTAAAGAGTCTCCAGAATAGTATTTGAAGGGAAACAGCTTTCATCCTTTTAAAAGCTAGGTGGATCAGTGCATGTCATTATTGTATTTAAATGGAGGCAGCTACGTTAGAATGTTTAACTCATCTCCATAAAAGCAGCTGTAAATTTGCTTGTGAACTTGATAAATCAAAGTGTAAGTGGATTGCTGTGTGTGACAAGCTTACCTTTCTGAGGCAGAAAGGCTACTCAGGACTGGGTGAGTTTTGAACAAATGGATACAGCCAGTTGATGGACAATTGATACCTCAAAGCCTCTCAGTCATGAAACCATGTAGGTCTCAATTGTCATTTTATCATCAGACTTACTTGTTCTTCTTCAGTCTCATATTTCAACACAAGTTTTAACAATAACATGTTCATTAGCACATAATTCTATTTCTAACACAGTGTTGCTTTGTTCGTAACCATAAAAGTCTTTATTTATATATCAAATTTCTATGTTGCCCATCTCACCTAAGTGACTTTGGGCGGTTTACAATAAAAATCCACTTTAAATCTTTCTAAAAACCATTGATATGAAATCTTCTTTTCATTTGATTTTACAATCCGTTAAGAAAATTCTAATACATCATGGTAAGTTAACAATTTATATTTACTTGTCATTTCTCATCTATAAAATGCTTCCTGGGCAGAAAGCTACAAAGGAGTTGTCAAGCAAAAATCTACGTTTATATTTATTCCACACTCTTTAAGTATAGCTGGTCTAATAATGATTTTTAAACTACATTCACCTTAGCTACCATTCCATTGGTACTGGTGCCATCCAAATCTCAAATTATGGCCTTATAGAACCAATAACCTTCTATTCCTTAACAAAATCCATCCAAGCTGAACAACAGGCAACAAAATATGACTCCAAGTCTTATCATCTTCTTTGCTTTGCAACTTGTTGCACTTTATGTTTAACTCAAGTTCTTCCTCCCTCCATACAAATTTGGATATATCTTCTGCCATTGTTTAAATGGTACATCAATTTTCAAAATAAGTATTGTCTGGAACAAAAATAACAATCTAGTTAAAACATTGACTTTAATCAGAGAAACTCTATCAACATGACAATTGTAATTTGTCCCATTTTGACATATCTTTTTTAAAAATTTCATTCTATGTCTTCACATAATTATTTTGAAATAACATGCTATTCTTATTTGTTACAGTGTTACCGAAGTATTTTCAAGATTAATCTTGAAACTTGCTAATGCATCAAATTCAAACCTCATCTCATATCTCAAGTACTTTGTATGTGAAGTCCTTTTCAGTTTTTCAAATGGTCCTTCAAAAAAGATGAGGGATAAAAATATATTTCTTAGCATCAGGAATATCTCTTATTAACACTTAAAATGTGAAGTGCCTTTGGAACAATTCTCTGTATACTTACTTCATAAACATGTATTTTCCAGCAAATTACTCATGGGCCTGATATACATCATCCCAGAACTATAGACCATTGTATTTACTTCATTTTACCTTCCTTTTAAGCACAAAGACTTTGAAATCATTTTGTGCTTCTTAAAAGACAGCAGGAATTATGGATTTGTTAAAAAAAAAGATTGCCACCAAGATCATTCTGTTCTGATAAATTAACGTTGCCAAGGATTTGATGATTTAGAATGCCTGCTTTTGCATTTATCTCAGTTTATTTTTAATATGCCTTTTTTCAGGCTTGCCGTCATTACCATTACCAGAAGCTCCTTTGAATATGAAGAAATTCAGGGCACTTTTTAAAAAGGCTACAGCACTTTAAAAAAAAAAACATGGTATAGTAGAAGTGAAGGGCTATCAAAATAGAACAATGCCCACTGGAGTATTCTGTTATTGCAGTCCAGATGCTTCAGCAGCAGATGTCAAGTTGTACAAGTCTTTCAGTGGTGTTTTGATGATACATTGTTTTTTTTTCTCTCCTGTATCCAGATTTCCCAGGACATCTGGAACTGTGTTCTAAATCTTGTAGACCAGTGGTTCTCAACCCTTTCTTCACCACAGACCTCCCCCTTTAAATATCTTTTGTGGCCCAGAGACCATGCTCCCAACCCCCCCAAGACTTAAATCAAGATTTAAATCATTTCTTCAAATCTTTGCAGACCCCCTGGGATGACATTTCGCCCCCAGGAGTCCGTGGACCACAGGTTGCTGTAGACCAGAGATATTAAACTCGCGGCCCTCGGTCCAGATGCATCACGTGCTGCCCTTGCCCAGGTCCGGTTTAACGAAGGGGAAAAAGATCACGATACTACATGTGATGACATGAGTTTGATACCCCTGCTGTAGGCCATTATTGCTGCACTTTCTATACTCCAGTCTCAGCCCATGAAATATTTAAAACATGGACCATTATTTTAAAGAACCAACTATTCACTAAACATGGATCAGTTTTAGGTGCTAAAAAAAAATCCCCATGTAATCTCATCCTAGTGTTGACTTTCTTTCAAGGAAAACAAGGCATATCATAGCAATTATAATTTTGCTTATTTACTGGTAGTTCTATTCTGTTGCAGCACCTCAATAGCACTAGAGCACAGTTGGTAGAATATCAGGTACAGGTCATCCTCGACTTATGGCCACAATTGAGTCCCAAATTTCTGTTGTTAAGTGAGACGTTTGTTAAGAGACTTTTGCCCCATTTTATGACATTTCTTGGCACAGTTGTTAAATGAATCACTGAAGTTGTTAAATTAGTAATCCCATCTGGTTTCCCCATTGACTTTGCTTGTCAGAAACTTCGCAAACAATGATCACATGACCCCAGACACAGGACCCGTCATAACTATGAGCCAGTTCCAACCAAAGGTTGCAAAGGTTGTATGTGAAAAATGGTCATAAATCACTTTATTCAGTGCTGCTTTAACTTTGAATGGTCATTAAATGAACTGTTCTAAATCAAGGACTAACTGTACTACACACATTTGCAGATGGTGGAAAAGCATTTGGAAGGCATAATGCATTGTACTGTTGCAAGTAGCTATAAAGGACTCTAAGGTTTTCTGACTACTGGAAACCCTTCTGAGATTGCTTTCCTGTCTTGTTTCTCAGATTTCAACAGGTTTCATCCGTACACTTTTAAGCCTGTTTTTGCAATTGTAAGAGCCAGAAACAATGCATTTTTCCTTTTCCTTTAATGGCAAAAAATAAAGTAAAATCAAAATTATTGGAATGTGTTTAATTAAATCCCATACTAATTTCTCTGCAACCAGGGTATGATCTCTAGTAAAACTGACTGATTTCTATACCATACCTTTATGAATTTTTAAATTTGCATCATTATAACTGGTTTGAATTTTTTAAGGTTAAAAAAAAGTTAAATCATACACCCAGCCTTCCCAAACTGGACCAGATGTAAAAAGCACTCCTGTGTTTCACTTTCCTTCCTTCTCTTCTTATTTTCTCCAGAGAGAGATTATTACAGTTTATGTGACAAGCAACCAATAGGAAGATTTCTCTTTCGGCAGTTCTGCGAGACTCGCCTGGAGCTGGAATGCTGTATTAAGTTTCTTGATTCGGTGGTAAGTTGGTTTTTCTTAATGCTACAAGAGTTGATTGTAACCTGTGGGTCTCTCTGTGCAGGTACAGAGTTTTCCTTAATTTTTTTGTTCTTCCATAGATTGTACCTGCATAGCTTTTGTAGTTCCATTGTTAAACTGTCTCCTCTATCTCCATGCTTGTGTATATTTATATTTCTGTTTTCATGTTTACTTGTGTCTGAATACGTATCAGCAATGTATAAAAGTATAAAGTATAAACATAATTTGAATACATGAAAAGAGTAAGTAAAAAGGAATATTAGGACAATATTAGGCACACTGGTGCACTTATGCAAGTAGTCCTCAATTTACGACCACAAATGAGCCCAAAGTTTATGTCGTTAAGTGAAAAGTTTGTTAAGTGAATTTGTCCCTTTTACGACTTTTCTTGCCACATTTGTTAAGTGAATTACTGCAGTTGTTAAATTAGTAACTGGTTGTTAAGTGAATCTGGGTTCTCCATTGATTTTCCTTGTCAGAAGGTCACAAAATGGCTCCTGAACACTGCAACCATTATAAATGTGAGTCAGTTGTCAAGCATCTGAATGTGAATCATATGACCATTGGGATACTCAATGGTCGTAAGTGTGAAAAATAGTCATAGGTCACTATTTTCAGTGCAGTTGTAACTTCGAACAATCACTAAATGAACTGTTGTAAGTCGAGGACTACCTGTTATATTGCACTTATTGATTTGATTTCTGTCAAAGCCTTTAGTTCTCCATGCTCAATATACAACTGAGGAGCTATCTCGTCCCAATGGGACTAGCCTGGCCCTCTTGCTCCAGCGGCAGAGGCCTATTTCCGATCCCATCTGGCAAAGAGTTTCAGCTGAGGGGGTTCAGAAGAAAAGCCTTTTTCTACTGTGGTTCCTGAGAAAGCAAATCAAAATAATTCAGCAGAATTCGAAAGCAATTGAAAAGCAAATTTTTTTTTCGTAATTTTTCAATGGCTGGTCACTGAGTGATAATGTTGTCGAATAACTGTGGATAATTTGGCTAATATGTACCTATATAGCATTACCTGTGGGACACTGATTAAAGCACACTCAGTCTTGGAGTAAACTAAACTACTAAACAGAGTAGAATTTACTCAAGCAAATAAATGTAGGATTCAGAGAGTACAAACCAGAAGTCGTCCATTGATTAGCTGTTCTGTGAATTCTGTTGGTAGCCTTAGGCAAGTCTCAGTCTATTTAGCTGAGCCACTCTCTTAAAGGTAAATGCTTTGCAGTTTGTTGGATTACTGAAATAGTGTCTGTCAGTGTTTTTCAAATGTGGCAACTTTAAGATGGGTAGACTTCAACTCCCAGAATTCCCCAGCCAGCTGGCTGGGTAATTCTGGGAGTTGAAGTCTACCCATCTTAAGGTTGCACAGTTCAGAAACACTGGTGTATATGAAACTTCGATACAGCACAATATAAACATCACTATTCCTTCATTCTATTGTGAGTACTAATATTGCCATTATCCAGACAGCCAGAAGACCATTATATCCTCCCATAAATCATTACATGGACAGGAAATCCAAGCATTCTAGAATACCTTTTAGGTTTCTGACTTACAAAGTAACATACATGCACATCCATATATACACATGGACACTGTATTAGAGCATGAACTTTCTCAAAATGACACTGTGGCACTATGAAAAATCATAGTGGAGGGATCAAATGGCAGTGGAAAATTAAAACTCTGGTCCTGGTGACTCAGATTGGATCCTCCAAAAAGAACAATATTTACTCCAGTTAGGTAAAGAACATTTTAGCAGGTTCATCCTCCTCTTCCAACCCCCTCCCACCCCCCATTTTTTTTAATGAAATACTTCTGCTTTGGGAGGAATTGGGGAAGAGGACTATTGCAGAATGTTTCTATTTTGATTGTTCCAGAATAGCTTTTATTTCTTCATAAAATCTCTGGATATTGAGTGATACGCTACATGAAACAACCTTTTGAAGCCAGTTTATATAACATAAACCCTTGTGGGTTGTTATTTTTTTTTAATCATCCGGAAGAAAAGACAATAAGGCAAAGTTACATTACATGTCATGGGAGTTTCCCAACCAAAATGGGTTGAACCTGAGGAGAAATTTTGATGGAGTCTGCGATATTCTGCTGTTAAGACTACAAAATATCTGAACAAATGCACTTTATCAAGTTTGTGAATTTATTCCTTTATAGACTTAATTGTCACTTTGAATATACACTAATCAGCATACATTGAAATGAAATTTAGTTGCATACAGCTCTCAAAGGATCTCCACCTCCAATATACACTACTAAATAGTATAGTTTCTAGGATTAATTAGTCCCACTTTAGATATGAAAGCCAGCTGTGTGACTTTCTCTCTCAGCCCACTCACCTCACAGAATTGTTGTTGTGGAGAAAATAGAAGGAAGAAGTAGTAGTAGATGTGTTTGCCAGTTTGGGTTATTTATAAAAATAATAAAGGCGGAATTAAAACATCCAAAATAAATAATAATAATTAAGCAATTCTTAGAGGAAACTATTCATTTTTTTCTAAAGTAATATATCTTTTCAAGTGATAAATAAATAGAAAATGTGGCAAAGGGAAATATACTGAGCCATAATGGTTAGGACCAGAATTGTGTTGGATTAAGTCATAAAAACATGTCAAGGGCTGTTCTTCTGCCTTTGTGTATAGAAATGCATAGAAACTAAAGTAGAAATATTTCCTCTTTAGATTAAAAATATTTTGTATATCAGCAGGACTTCAGCTTCCTTGCCACATGCTATTCTCTCTTTGCAGCAGTCATGAATTGTGTCGGTTGAAGATAAGACTCCAGATTTTCTAAGCTTTTTTTAAAAAATAGCTCTTTTATGCATATGATTTTTAATCTTTGAAATGAGTTCCAAAGGGTGATAATGGTGGGATGATGGAAAAAGCATCATTAAGATGCTATAAACATTCTTGTCTATTGGTGCTTTGAAGAGGAACATGACCTGTGGCCTGATAAAATCTAAATGGATAAGAAATTTTATGAAAGAACACTGCAAGTCTCTTTGTACTGACTTTTATGGGTATTTAATTGCTTCATCCTTTTGCATTTAATAGGAATGGAAGGGTCATAGTCATGTCTATTTTAACAGTCATGTGTTTCTTATCTAAAGCATGCTTATCGTGCTGTATGAAAGTTTATTTCATAGTGGCTATTTAGTAAGGGAAATGTAATTGTACTGCTGATTTCTAAAATATTCTGAGATAATATTATGATAAGAATGGCTTGTTCATCGTAGGTCCGTTTTTGAGGTGATGTAAAAAAAAGCGCACCTCATTTGCAGTGGACTGAAATGCTCTGGGGAATAGAAAAACAGTTTTACTCTGCCACCAAGAACATTTTCATGGTCTGAAATGAAGGTGATATGATATTCTAAGGACATTGTTCGGACCATCAACTGTTCAGGTGGTCATGAGAGTTCTCTTTGGCAAAATCAGGAATCTAATTCTCCTGAATGTTTTTCACATAATGCATTTTTTTTATAAACCTGAATCGGTCGATGGAGGAGGAATAATTTCATTTCTATTCTTCTTCTTGTACCATATGTACACTGAGAGCATATACACCTAAGACAAATTCCTTGTGTGTCCAATCACACTTGGCTAATAAAGAATTCTAATTCTAATATCTGTCATCGGATATTGGCGATCCTATTTTTATCAACAGACACACGAAAAAGTTCTGCTGAGTTTGTCCAAACCAGTCCCTTAGATTTTGAAGCCATGATGCTCTCCATCTGCCAGGACCTCGTTTGCCTTCAATCTTTCCTTATAGGATTAAGTGAAGTATGCTGTATTTTTCTGGGTGTTGTAGCACATGTCCAAAATATTCTAACTTTCGCTTTTTATGGTTTTGATGGTTTCCCTTGGCTTTCCCAGGCGGCTTATCACCTCCTCATTTCTGATTTTGTCAACCCAACTTCTTATACGTAACAGCCGCCTGTAAATCTACATTTCAAATGCTTCTAGTGGCTTTTTGTCAGAGACCAACTCTCTATTCCATAGAGCAGGATAGAAAAGATGTAGCATCTGACAAGCCTGATTTTCAATCTTAAACTTATGTCGTGACTGCAGAAGACCTTTTTCATTTTGAAGAATGCAGTTAGAGTTTTCTCTATCTTGTTTTGACTTCAGTGGCCTTCATTTCGATATTGACTTATTTCTGGAAGTGTTGTGCATTTTAAAGAATCTAAGTAAAATATTTGAAGGAGTAGTGTGTGCATTAGTGCACATGAAATGCCTTTCATCAAATCACTTTGAAGAGGCAGCTTCAGAAGGTTTGTCCCAGTTGCTTTGTCCTTCTTCCCATGTGATCTGATGACAGAAACAGCTTTAGATTTGAATACAAAGTGTGTATTTCCTCTTTGAAAAAGCAGTGAGGATCTTAGATCTTCATTAATGAATTACATTAATTTCATGAACTGTGGAGTGCCCTAGATGTAGTTTATGAAGATGAAAAACCAAAATCTTTAAAACTCTTTTTGAACATTATAAATCCTGAGATGTTTGTTGATTCCTAGATAGTAAGATCAGTAATGCCTGGAAGATGAAATAAATGTGTCTGTTGGGAGGATGGACAAAGAATGGCACGTTCATACAGACATAATCACGCAAATGTCACAATTTCCATACCTGAATCAGGTAGGCTAATACTTAATTGTGGCATTTGTGAGGTTGCATCATTGTCATCAATTTGGTATCACAGTGGTTTGATTTGGACACCACTGTGAAGTCCTGAACATCTGGAGGATACCAAGTTGAAGGATGGACTTCTAGATCAATAAATTTTTTGAAGGGATGTAGAAAAGGAATGTGTGGATCCAGATTGGAGTGGGGGAAATGTTTTTAAAACAATTTTCTCCATGTTTACAAATCTTAATTTTTCTGAATATTTGCTTCTTAAATATGTCCTAGATTCAAATCAGCCGTTAGTAAATTTAATAATTGCTACCATGTTTCCTAAAAGCTGAAATTATTCTCATAAAGATGATTCAGCATGAATTCTGTAGGGCAAAGTTGTCAAATTTGCATTTAGATGTATAGAAATAAATTAATTATTTGAAATATAGTAAGTTAAAGAACAGTTTCAAGACTTCTGCTATTCTTTTTACATATATTTTTTAAATAAAACTTTGGACACCTTTTCAAAAGAAGATGCCTTCAAATAGTGAACTGCCCTTTTTAAAATAGGTCTGTAGCATTGGTGGGAAAATCTCTACCCACAAAAGCACTAGATTGCTAAAAGTGCTGGTTCACCATTTAAAACAATTCATTATCAAATATGATTTATTATATTATGTCATACCACATTGAATGTATATTTTTGCAGAGCCAAAGTTCATTGTCTGTCATTAAGAAGTAATTGGCTTGGCATTTATCTGGGAGACTCTAACCTTTGAGAATCCTTTTCACACATCCATGGAATTATAACCATGTTTAGACTGAAAATATCAAAACTACATCAGTTTAACTAATTTAAATATTAACATATAAATACACACATGAATGAACATATGTAGATAGGATACGGTAAACTGGTTCCCCTTTAATATGGATCCTGGCTAGTTTGAGAGGTCCCACTTGGGTCTTCATTTCTAGCTTTTTTCTGTCTACCTAAGTTTGTTCCAAAATTTCAGCAGACAGTTGACCTTTAAGGCTGAAGAGTATTTTGAGAGTGCATGTCTCATCAGGTAGAGTTTTTCATAGTGCAAGCTACCTGATCCTTCTTGTATAGAGATATGGCATCTCTATACAAATTCAAAACAGTTGAAAAGTATATTTATTGTTATTATGGTCCTTCCTCATATATACCTTTATGCATGATGAGGAGCAAAGAAATACAGGGGTTTGTAAAATATTTTACACCGTTATACAGATCTGTTCCTTTATCATGGGTGTATTTGAAGGGACCAATGTTTGTGCTATGTGGTTTTTATTTACAACCACCGAAAAAGTATATGAATATTTATACATAGTATATGAATACATGAGCATTCATATTTATGCATGTGCAAAATATGAAGCACAATTTATCATTTTGCATCTTTTTTCTAGGTAGAATATGAAGTACTTCCAGATGACAAATTGGGAGAGAAAGGCAAAGAAATTGTGATGAAATATCTCATCCCAGGGGTAAGGAACACTTGAAATCTTTTATGTTGCTGTTATGTCTAATGAATATTTTCTCAATAGTATTAAGCTCTGCAACAAATGTTTTAAAAATTATCTGTGGGACTATCCTGGATATGCTTGGTTGGACATCTCTATTCCACATGTACCATCAACAGATGCTGTACCAGTAAGTCATTTTAGCCTGGCGTTGTCTTTCAGGTGCTGTGTTTGTATACGGTTTGTATATATATGTGCAGAATCTGAAAAGTAGACTTTTTCTAACATTTAACGTATGACGGAGCTAAAAGAAATGAGGATGTTACAAGTAGACATAAAATATTTCTTCAAAGCAATTTTCAACAGAATCACATATCTTCTGCTGTGTAGAACTCCTTGTTGAAACAAATTGAAGTCAGTACCTACAGAGTTAAACAATAATGTATGTTGTTGAAGCCCAGGTATTTCACAGTGATAAAATTTATCTGAACATTATAATAAGAAGCAAAAGACCTTGGAACATTCATAACAAATTTAATTTAGCTGCAATCCCATTATAGATATATTTTCATGTGCAAAACGAGGCTGAATTCTCTGTCAGTGGTTCTCTCCACTTTCACAGAAGAAAATTTAATAATTCCTATAAAAGTAGGTTCCAGTTTATTTCATGCTCTTCTCTGTGAAATTAACTGCTGTCAATAAGCTAGCCATTTTATCTAGAAATAGGTAATCTAATTAGTATGGTGGAGTTATTTTTCTGAACAATAATAAGTTATTAATAAAATGGAGGTCTTCCAATGTAGTCTGCAGAATTTAGATTTATTTTCATCCCTTTTGGTATTTTCATCTAGTAGCACAACTGTCTTTTCCCCCTGTACTCGCTACTATTCAGCTACGTACAGGTCAGTGCATTCATCATTCCTATACAAGACTTTATCCATGTAAACACAGCCTGGGAAATAGTCAGTAAATGAGAAAGTAGTAGAATATTTAAGTCTCCTTCTTAAAGAAAATATTTCCTACTTTTTAAATGTTAACTTACAAATGAAGATGATATTTCTAATCACAAAAAGCTTTGTTTGAGCTTCCTGGGGAAAGTTTCCTATTCAAATACACCGCTTTTCATTTCATAACCACATATGAGTTCCAGCAGTTACTTTTCCTCAAGACTGAAGCAATGGCTTTGTCACCATCATCCTTTTCAGTTCAGATGCTCCCTTTCATCTTGTATGAAGGGGTCATTATACTTAAGCTGGGTTCAAATAATTAAGAGACATTTGAGCATTAGTCAACTTGGCTTAGATCTTGATACTTGTAACGAAATATATGTGTGAATCTGTACCCATTAGGTGGCAATCTCAGCAGGACACAGATTCTTATGAGTTAGTTTGATGTTAGCAAATGGACTATTTGTTATTTTCATTTGCTTGTAGCTTCAGTGTCAGAAGCAGTGGACCAAGGAAGTGCTAAGCCTTAGATACCTGGAATCTCTAAGCTTTCTCAACTATGACTTGGGTCTATGAGCATTGCTTAAATTCCTTTTCAATAAAAGACATGCCTGGCCCATGGAACAACATTATATCTCTTTTAAGAACATATTATTCAGAGCTGTGGTGGTTCAGTAGTTAGAATGCAGTACTGCAGGCTAACTCACTGCTCACTCCAGGAGTTCGATTCTAAGCAGCTCAAGGTTGACTCAGCCTTCCATCCTTCCGAGGTTGGTAAAATGAGGACCCAAATTGTTGGGGGAAATATGCTGACTCTGTAAACCGCTTAGAGAGGGCTGTAAAGTACTGTGAAGTGGTATATAAGTGCTATTGCTAAATTGCTATTATCCATTCATTATGAGAACCAGAAACGAAAACCTATTTCTTTTTTAAACTAGACTGTTTTTTATTTTGAGAACCTGAAAGCTAACATAAGGAACAGACTAATTCGTGCAAAAAGACCATTGTATCCTTTTCTCTTAAAACTTAAGATAGCATGCATTTAGTATCATTGTCCAGTAGGACCGGTTTCTTTTAAATTTTGAGAATAAATGTTTGAAAACTTTTGTTTACTAAAAATCCGGATGAGTGTTTAAATATCTAGGGTATTGTCTCTTCTCTATATATAATGTAATGTAGTCAGCTTGGCCCAATATGTCATGAAAAGAGCAACTTTTCTCAGCCTCAATTCTCAGGCTGAAGCAGACTTCAGGGATAAATTCCCAGCTGAGTAAAGAAAAGTGATGTTCCTTGTATTTGCAAGAGACACTGAGAGTATATCTCACTCTTCTCTGTAACAGAGAAGCAATATTTCTGAACAACTCTCTTTAAATAAACCAAAGGAATTTCCATTTATACTGTAAAGATTTATTTTTTTTAAAAAAAGAAGAAAACTGTTGCATTTGAAATTCATTGCAAATATCTGATACAAATCTTTTATGTCATATATTAATAACATCAGTGTAGTCATGTTAAGCAGTAAGCCAGCTGTCTCATGTAGCAGTAGTATTTTTGGAGAGAAAGTTTACTTCTCAACAAAAAATTCACATAACACTCAGTTGTCTTATGCCTATAAAAGCACGTACACAAAACAGACACTCTGCATGAAGCATAGAAATGGTTTCTGCACTAAAATGACCCAAATACTACATCTTCTGGAAAATTATATCCAAGACCTTAGAAGAATGAAGTGACAGTTCCCGGCTATGTTTGAAAATTCATATCTATGGTACCCAAGTACCACTAAAAAAAACTACATAAATAAATTCAATACATTTATAAATAAATACAAGCCTCTTTTATTCCATGGACTGATTGAATTGTTCTGCTGCAAATAAAAAAAAAGTTTCAAATGATCCTGATTCCAGTGACATATTCATGAACGAGAAATTCTGCCTGAACCAGTTTTCTCATTAACACCATTCCCTGTTGCTGTAGCTTAAGGCCTTAGTGCATAGGAAAGGAAATGGTGCATAGAATAAAACACACAGAATTGTGGCACTTCAAGTAAGTAAGAACCCTGATAACGCAACATTCATGAACTCTGAGTGGCTATAGTGAAAGTAGGATATTGGCAAGAAGAGCCTTTCTCAAAAGAAGACTCTTAAAGTCAGCTAATACAGAAGGAGCACCTGGATGGAAAACAAATATTGATAGCCAAGAATTATAGTCTTATGGTTGCCATGTTTAGGATAATTAAAGGAATCAAGATTTGACCCTCCAGAACATTATAGTATTGTCTAGCAGCAGGGCTCACTACATTACAAAATCACCTGAGAACATTGAATCACCCAGCAAGCTTCAACCAAGCTTGACTCAGAAAACCTACAAGGTTAGCTATGACTCCTACAGTAGTCAATAGCTTGCCCCGGAACAGGAAGCTCAAATTCAAAGCCCAAGAGAGGGTATAAATAACCCTCTCTCTCAACTCCATGTGTTCAGCTGCACAAGGACAATGTGTTTGATGGTTCTGCTTCACCATTAAACCATCTTTCCAATCCATGTTTGCAGTGTCTTTCTCTCCACTTGGAACTGAACCAGATGGATATTTCTTCCAACAGTATGTTGCCTTTACTTGTTCCTCAGATCCAAAACCACCATTTCTTTTCCAATCAAATCAGAGCTCATGATCTTCTCTCCTGCCATCATTATTTGTGTTCCTTTCTAAGCTGTTTTACAAAATCGATTAGAAATTTGAGTTAAGATGCTCCCTGTCTACCGTTCTGTACAGACTCAGAAAGGTACTAAACACTGCTAAATAGAACATTAATATTGGTTGTTACTGCCATCAAAGTTCTTTTCAGTTATTGAACAACTGCATCAGTTTTATGATCTGAATACCTATTTGCTATCTTCTCTTGAGAGGGGGGGGAAACATAACCGAGGAAACTTTGGAAGGTGAACAGGACAAGAATATCACCTTAATCTAGCCCAGTGTTTCTCAACCTTGGAAGCTTGAAGATGGGTGAACTTCAACTCCCAGAATCCTCCAGCCAGTGTTGGGAGATTGAAGTCCTTCAAGCTACCAAGGTTGAGACACACTGATCTAGCCAGAAGTGGGAAGGGGGAATGTTAGAGAAAATTTATTTCTCTATAACTGTGACTATTAATGGCTTTTGGAATGGACAGATACATAAACCAATCAGATGGCAGCTAATATGTTTGAATCTCCCGGGTCCTACCCTAACTGTGATAGTTAGCAGTATAAAAGGAGATTCTTGTCAGAAACACTTTGCTCTTCGATCTTCACTCGTCTTAGCTATTTGGTCTTAGGTCTTAACTCTTCTAGGATCTTTCGTTAAACAACTGTGAGCAGTTTGGAAGTCTGTTAGAAGAGCAGTTCTGGTGGTTTATAATAATATTTTTTCTGAGGAAAAGTAGTCATAGATAACATAGCTTAGAGAGAATAGATATAGATATAGATATATAGCTGACAGGATAATTAATCATAGTAACTTAAGTGCTGTTTATTAATTGTATAGATATTGTTATGTTTTTATTATGTAAATAAAAACATTTACTGTTAAATGATTTAAAGACTTATCTGTTAAAGTAAAAATTCATAGAGACAAAAGTCCACAGTTCATTGATTTTATTAACCTCCACAACAGGGAAGAACAACAAATTGTCCCCTTTGCTTTTTAAAACAAGCGATGAAAGAGGGAGCTCCCACTCTTATAAAGAAGAACACTGCTAAAGTTTATATGAACACATTGTTTCTGTTTGGAATTGTTAAAACATGGAAAAAAATGAATTTGTTACCTAACAAGTTATCTTTTCTGGATCGTCTAATGAACATGACTGCCCAGAAATGTGAATTGGTTTATCAGAAATAATACTGTAATTATGATTGAGCAAAGTGAGGGAAATGCAGCAATGCTATACTATTGAAAAGGGTGATCCAAGGTCCTGGAGACACACATTGAATTCTGCAGGCTAACTGGTAGTTCCAACCTAACATGACACAGTTTGCATAGTTTCCAGATCTGTTGCTGTGTCTTGGCGGTAGTCCATGCTACATGAGTTAAGGAGAGCCTG